CCGCGGCCGCCGCGGCGCCCTTCCCTTCCTTGGAGGGCGCGGCGATCCCGGCGGCCGCCGCCGCCCACGCCTTGCCCTTCGCCGGCGGCGGCGGCCGCGGGGGCGCCGGCGGCGCGCCCGCGAGCGTCATCGACGGCGTGCGGCCCTCGACCACGGTCAGCTGCAGCTCCCCGCGCCCGCCGGCGCCGGGCGCCGCGGGGGCACCGCCGCCGCCGCGCGCCTCCGTCGCTTTGTGCCACGCGCGCGCCTTTCGCGCCGCCTCAACTGCGCTCAGGCGCCACGATTGGCGGCGGCCGCCCGTGATCTCGTCGTGGACTGACAACGCGAGCCGCGCGACCGCCGCCGCGCGTGCGGCCTGGCGGCGCAGCAGCGCGGGACCGACGCGGCAGAACACGACGCCCGGGCCGCCGCCGCCGCCGCCGGCGGCGGCGCCGCGGAAGCCGAACTGGGGGGCGCCGCCACTCTCAGAGATGGTCTCCATCTGGGTGGCCGCGCTTACACTGCCCGCGCGCTCAAGCGTGCGACCGGATGGCAGCGGCACAACCTGCGGCCCCGCGTTGCCCGAAGACCCGCCCGCGGCGGCCGCGGGCGCCGCGCAGGCCGGCGGCGAGGCGGCCAGGTAGGGCGCGGTCTGCGACGCCGCGCCGCCGGCGCGGCGCTGCGGCGGCCAGGCAGAGCCCAAGTTGCCAACGCCCTCGAGGCTCGAGGGCAGCATCAGGCCAGATCCCGGGACCGCGACGACGTTGACCGTCCGGTCAAACGTGCTGAACCCGCCGTCCTCGGACGCGGGGGCGCCGCCCGCGGCTGCGGCGGCGGCGCCGCCGACGGCGGCGGAGCGCGCGGGGATGCACGCGGCGCCGAAGCCCTCGGAGCTGTCGCCGTCGATTTCGAACATGGCGCCGTCGGTATCGCCGGCGCCGGCGGCCTTGTCCCCGCCTGCCTTGACGGCCCCGCGCGGCCACGCCGGCGCGATGCCGTTGCCGTTGGCGGGCGCTGCTGAGTCGCCCGCAGTCAAAGACGTGCCTTGAGCGTCCGCATCTTGTGCCGCGCCGCCGCTGCTCTGCGCGCGGCGGGCGCCGCCCTCGCCCTCGCCACCGTCGGTCGCTCCCAAGAAGAGGCTCCCGCGGGCGGCGGGGCCGGCGCCGCCGGGGGGCGGCGGGCTACTCGCGAGGGCCCAGCCGGCCGGGGGGCGCGGGTCGCTTTCCGACGAACCGAGACGCCCGATTTGGGCGGGGTCGAGAGAGTCGGCCGGGTACAGCGTTCGGTGGGGCGCGGCGGTGGGCAGCAGCACGTCGCCGCTGCTGCGGTCTGGGGACAAGCCCTGCTCGGGCGGCTCCATGCCGTCAAGCAGAGGCTCAGAGTGCCGCGGCGCCCGGCGCACCAAGCCGAACGCGCCCGTCTGCACTGCTGCGGCGGCCGCCCCGCCCGCTGCGGCAGCCGCCGCCGGCGCAAAGCCGCGGCGGCGGGGGGCGCCCTCTAGGGCGTCGCCGCCGCCGGCGCCGCTGTCCGAGACAGCGCTGCGGCGCCCATGGTCGGGGGACCCTCCCCACTCCAAAGCACTGGCATGCCGATCCACCACCGCCCCGATGCCATCCCCCGCAAACACGGCTGTAGCCCGCTCCCCGCCGCCGCTGCGGCCATTTGCAACGCCTGTGTCCTGCTCTTCGCCCTCGAGCGCGGCGGTGGGGGCGCCCTGCCACCGCCCGGGTAGCTCTAGCTCTCGGAGAGCGCCTGCATGGGTGCCGCCCCCGCCGTCGGCGGGGTCCGCGACCGCGCCGGGCGCCGACGCGTAGCGGTGGGCGCCGCCGTGGCCGCCCGCGGCGGGG